TTAGTTTCATTTATTTTGCCATGACATTTTCCCTTTACCCATTCCTGACGAGCCTGCCAGTGGTTTTCATTAACACTTAGATATATTTTTGTCTTCACATGTGTTAAGAATACTGATGTACAAATGTTTTTTTTTACAGCGAGATCATTCATCTATTAATGAGATGCATCTACTGAAATACTTGAAATTGTGTTAGTTTCATGTTATTTTCTTAAGATACTTATTTGTATCACGCACTATTGCAACTTATGCAACTTAAATACTTTGACCTCAATCGTCGCTGATGAGATGTTATTTATCAAATTATGTATGTACAGTGCACTAAACACAGTAGATCTCAATTAAAATTTAACCCGATATCATCTTCAACCTGGGTTGCATTCAAAACTGACCACCAGCAAATCTATAATACACTTACAGTGTATCAACTACAAAAGTCATGTAGAGGATCAGATGAAAAATAACACAAGACATTGATAAGATCACTATACTGAGGCGACCTAATGTTATTGAGAACGGCTATAGACATAAGGCTCCATTCAGAGAAATCTTAGCCAACAAAGGAAAGTGTTGCCAAATGTCGAGTGTCTTGAATATCACGATTAATTCTTTTTATGAAACTCGGTAAAAGCTAGCAGTGAAAGAGTGTTAAGGACGTCACATCTGGGGGTATAGTAAAAGTCGGTTGATATTATGATAAAAGTATTTCCGAAAAGATTTAATTGAAACAATAAAACGTAATCAGACTCAGTCAGGTGCTTTAATGAAACATATTAGTCTTGTGGAATTCCATGGGATTGCAATGATAAGAAGGACTAAATTTGATCTATACTTAATTAATAAAGGTAGAGAGTCCCATCACTTTCCTGCTGTATATAGCACATAAAAAGTTATTTTCCTGTTAAATTAATGTTACTTTAATCTATATCAAATAAGTCACATAATTAAAGGTTATAAAACATTTCAGAGAATTAGATCTTTTTAAAATTATTATAGCCTCAGTAATATTACAGAAAAGTATCAACATGACAACTATCATGACCTGTTCGGTTATGTTTCTTTCATATATATGACTCTTTTCTAAAGAAAATCGGCAAGCAGCTCTGAGTCAGAAAAATGTCAAGCAAATTGGAACTCTCCTTTGTTGGAGATACAAAACATAAGCACTTGGACTCTATACTACAAATATGGGCGTACATTGGTCGACTGCTGGAGTAAAGGTGTCAATTACCACTGTTAACTCTGATGGAGAATATCTAAGTGATTCACTCATCAAGTCAAAACACTAACATGAGGGTTATAGTTTGTTGATATCGTGTGTCAAGGTGATATTGTTTCTAGTCATTAAAGGGTTTAATATCACAGTATTGGCTTCGTCTGAGAATTACAACATCCTGCATCATCACAAACAAACAAACAAACCCTGTAACAGCTGTCAGATGGAGACTGTTGGGGCTTTGGGCAGGAGAAATCAAGTCGCCACCCTTTAGGTGGCATGGGGTGGAAGGAATCTAATCGGGATCCTCCTGTTATGGCCGATTTACGGCTGAAGGAACAACCTCTTTGAGTGGAGATGGAGACCTTTGAAATAGGGTGTTTCTGTTAAAACCGAACAGATGTTAACATTGTAACCCAGAATACCGTTTACAACCTCCAGTGTACCTTCCTGTTCGAGTTCCCGAAGTTTTCCTGAATGAGAAATCCACTAAATCCTGTTTGTCTTTGACTTGTTCAACACCATCTGTTGGAAACAGATGAACATCAAACCCCGGGATGTAGATTTACAACCTCTGTGCCTTCGTATTTATATACTTAAGAGTCACATCTACATTTAACCTATCCTGTGAAAGGTCGAACAGAGGTCGTGCATGCACCTATACGCCAGTAACACATATTGACTCAGTGCACTAGAACTGTTTACAACATTCTGATGTGGGGACAGGAGAATGTGTTGATGTTATATTAAAGTTTGAATAAATGGATGTTATATATGTATATCATAGAACTGTACACCCAAGTCTTCCCATATAACTGTACACAAAAATCTCCCCATAAAACTGTACACCAAAGTCTTCCCATATAACTGTACACAAAAATCTCCCCCATAGAACTGTTCACCAAAATCTTCCCATAGATCTATCTGTACATTAAAGTCACTCAATAAAACTGTACACCAAAGACTCCCCTATAGAACTGTACACCAAAATCTCCCCCCTAGAACTGTACACAAAAGTTTCCCATAGAACTGAACACCAAAGTCTCACCATAGAACTGTACACCAAAGTTTCCCATAGAACTGAACACCAAAGACTCCCCTATAGAACTGTACAACAAAGTTTCCCCATAGAACTGTACACCAAAGTCTCCCAATAGAACTGTACATAAAAGTTTCCCATAGAACTGTACACAAAATCTCCCCATAGAACTGTACACAAAAATTTCCCATAGAACTGTACACAAAGTTTCCCATATACCTGAACACCAAAGACTCCCCATAGAACTGTACACCAAAGTCTCCCCATAGAACTGTACAACAAAGTCTCCCCATAGAACTGTACACCAAAGTCTCCCCATAAAACTGTACACCAAAGTCTCCCCATAAAACTGTACACCAAATTCTCCCAATAGAACTGTACACCAAAGTTTCCCCATAGAACTGTACACCAAAGTCTGCCCTATAGAACTGTACAACAAAGTCTCCCCATAGAACTGTACAACAAAGTCTCCCCATAGACCTGTACACCAAAGTTTCCCCATAGAACTGTACAACAAAGTCTCCCCTATAGAACTGTACAACAAAGTCTCCCCATAGAACTGTACACCAAATTCTCCCAATAGAACTGTACACCAAAGTCTCCCCATAGAACTGTACACCAAAGTCTCCCCATAGAACTGTACACAAAAGTCTCCTAATAGAACTGTACACCATGTTTCCCAATAGAACTGTATACAAAGATCCTCCCATAGAGCTGTACATCAAAACTCTCCATAGAACTATTCACGAGGAATTCCCTTATGACCTTTGCACAAATGGTTTCAGCTTAAATTGAAGCTAAAACCTCCTCTGCACATTTATAACAATCAATACATGTTTTGGAGATACACAGATTGATGGAATTAGAAATTGGCTCAGTTACAAAACATACTGTTCTCTAAATAAAGCATTTCAATTCCTAAAACAGAAATTCTTGTGGCATGTTTAATCCTCCCGTTTTGTCAAGGTGTTTTGACAAATGTGATTCAAAACTCATTTTTAGAAGCATTTTTTGGTGATCTTTTCCTGAAGTACATTATTCCTTTGTCATGAAGACATGACCTGTTACAGTAATCACCATTATTATCTTTATAAAAACAAAACCACATGTCAAGAACGCCTTCAAATATTCAAATTTCACAACAGAGGAACAATCTGAAATAAGTATATACAAGGAAACTGTCACCCAGTCAAATCTTCACCATTCACTTGTAGATTTCGTTTTATCACATAATGTACTGTGTCATCCAGTGAATATACCCATATCATATTTCTTTTGCATATTAACCCATGTAATACGACCTAACAGCCCTGTGATTGGTTTTAAGATTCAATTGTTTCAATTGCGATGTCACACCTTCACAAGTACATGACGTAACAGACTTGCGCACTGGAGTCAAAATGGCGTTTTTTTACATTTCAAGGCTGCATGAAAAATTGTCGTTTTACACGAATATATGGCACAAATGTTGATTATGTGATAAAAAGGATCTTACACTCGTTTTCATTTCATATGAAATTGCTGAAACTCGTCAAAAATTTTTCATTTTAGGTGCTTCTCCCTTTTGAGCCGGAAAAGATCAGCTAGCCACCCCCTAGGGGAAGATGGCCTCTTGCAGAATGGCGCTATCTAAGTCATAACAATAGTATGATGTCAGGTCATCAATGTATTGACATCATGTCAACAGATATAGACCATGGGAGACAACTCTGGATTTGCTGGAAAAACATGCAATCAACGCTTGTCGATGGATTTGTGAGTGAAACAGGGTGGGAGAAAAACAATCCGCCCCTACCTTGAGAGTGTGACAGAGAAATCTCCAATCTTCGGGTAAGGACAATCAGGAATACCATCCCTCGGGTAAGGACAATCAGGAATACCATCCCTCGGGTTGGAGATTTCTCTGCCATAACCTCGGGATGATGTTCTCTAATGTCGTACCCTCGTTAAAGCCTCGGGTTATATAAGACAATCAAGAATACCATCCCTCAGGTTGGAGATATCTCTATTAGTCAAGATTCTGATATTCACTTCAGGGTCACTACTAAAAAATAATCGTAGTATACACATGTACATCCAACGCAAAAGTTTTACATTAAATATCAAACTTGATTTATTAATTAAACCATCCCCATTTCAGGACCTCTCCATTTAAACAATCAGAAATCTCTCTCAAAAAAATCATGCATGCCCGATTTTATTAAATTTGATAAAATCCTTTTAAAACAAATTTGAAATTGTGAACAAGTTTTTGAACGACCATATTTGTAGCCATGCCATTTGCATTGGATTTTTAATGGACTCTAAAACGTAGCATCAGTTATCAGAGTGATGGCAGGAACCTGGTTTTAATCCGGTTATTGTAAGGATTGACAGGTGATCATGTCACAAGGCCATTGTGAAACGACAAACCTTGAAATCCAAGAAAAAACAGCTCAAAAATCTACTTGGGAAACAATAAAAAAAAAAAAAAAAAAGCTTTCATAGACGGCAACAAATGTTTGTATCAAAAATCCACGACAGCAAAGAATTCTGAAGGGACATCAGCGACAATACACAAACAAGGACAGCAAATGGTTTCCTAATGGACATCAGTAATTATTTGTATCCCAAAACAACAACAACAATGGTAAATATACACCAATAACAACTACAGCAGCTAACACCAGAAAACAACAGAAACAACGGTTGATACCAATAACAACTACAGCAGCTAAAACCAGAAAACAGCAGAAACAATGGTTAATGCCAATAACAACTACAGCACCCAACACCAGCAAACAACAGAAACAATGGTTAATACCAATAACAACTACAGCAGCCAACACCAGAAAACATCAGAAACAAAGGTTAATACCAATAAAAACTACAGCAGCTAACACCAGAAAACAACACAAACAACAGTTAATACCAATAACAACTACAGCACCTAACACCAGAAAACAACAGAAACGACGGGTGATACCAATAACAACTACAGCAGCCAAACCAAGAAAACAACAGAAACAATGGTTAATACCAACAACAACTACAGCAGCTAACACCATCAAACAACAGAAACAATGGTTGATACCAAAAACAACTACAGCAGCTAACACCATCAAACAACAGAAACAATGGTTGATACCAATAACAACAACAGCAGCTAACACCAGAAAACATCAGAAACAAAGGTTAATACCAATAACAACTACAGCAACTAACACCAGAAAACAACAGAAACGACGGGTGATACCAATAACAACTACAGCAGCCAAACCAAGAAAACAACAGAAACAATGGTTAATACCAAAAACAACTACAGCAACTAACACCAGAAAACAACAGAAACGACGGGTGATACCAATAACAACTACAGCAACTAACACCAGAAAACAACAGAAACAGCGGTTAATGCCAATAACAACTACAGCAGCCAACACCAGAAAACATCAGAAACAAAGGTTAATACCAATAACAACTACAGCAGCTAACAACAGAAAACAACAGAAACAACGGTTAATACCAACAACAACTACAGCAGCTAACACCAGCAAACAACAGAAACAATGGTTAATACCAAAAACAACTACAGCAGCTAGCACCAGAAAACAACAGAAACAACGGCTAATACCAATAACAACTACAGCACCTAACACCAGAAAACAACAGAAACGACGGGTGATACCAATAACAACTACAGCAACTAACACCAGAAAACAACAGAAACGACGGGTGATACCAATAACAACTACAGCAGCCAACACCAGAAAACATCAGAAACAAAGGTTAATACCAATAAAAACTACAGCAGCTAACACCAGAAAAACAACGGTTAATACCAAAAACAACTACAGCAACTAACACCAGAAAACAACAGAAACGACGGGTGATACCAATAACAACTACAGCAACTAACACCAGAAAACAACAGAAACAAGGGTTAATACCAATAACAACTACATCAGCTAACACCAGAAAACAACAGAAACAAGGGTTAATACCAATAACAACTACATCAGCTAACACCAGAAAACAACAGAAACGACGGGTGATACCAATAACAACTACAGCAGCTAACACCAGAAAACAACAGAAACAATGGTTAAAACCAAAAAAAACTACAGCAACTAACACCAGAAAACAACAGAAACAACGTTTAATACCAAAAACAACTACAGCAACTAACACCAGAAAACAACAGAAACAACGGTTAATACCAATAACAACTACAGCAGCTAACACCAGAAAACAACAGAATAAAAATTAAAGAAACAACATCAAAAGGTTTATATTAAGAAACAACATCAAAAGGTTTATATTAAGAAACAACAGCAATGGCCTATTTGCAGAATTAACACTAAAGAGTCAAGTCCAGAAAACACCACTGTCCCATGTCTCTGCAAAGTACCACCAAAAGTTCATCTCTTGAAACAACAGTAGCATTGGTCCTGTTTTAGAAACCACAACGGACTATGTTGTGTAACGTGGAAATTTCCCAGATAAAACTATCCTGTTACCAATCACACACCCAACAGTAATATAAAATACTACCAACAGAACCAGACCTGTCCAAATTTTATTGTCCTCGTTCTCCAAACCATTCAATATTGGCACGATATGTCTTGCTAAGGCTTGTGTTAAGTTTTTTTCTCACTCTCAGCCATCGGAAAGTTGACAGAAAGTTGTTTGTATTGATCACCACAATCAAATTTCTACACGAGTAAGACAGTGTTATAGGACTATGATACAACGATCTGCCTATGAAAACGACAATTCTTGTCAAAATTGTTCCCCCAGTCAAAATCAATTTAGTGAAAAACCCACACCATTGAATTCCCTGGAGAGCGTTCTTCTCGAGAGGAAACGGCAGTAAAGTGAGGTGGGGGTAGTTTGTTTGCATGTATTATGGCATTTATTGGTTTTGGAGGGAAAGGGAATGGCAGCATCATATGGATCTGATATCCCCCTCTGTGGCGGAAATGTAAGGCAGACGGGCAATGTGACATTGAGAGGATGTAGGTATGCCATTTTATACCTCATCTAGATATCTGACTTCCTCACAATCTATACGCACAAGCAATCCGGTCCCAATTTGTCTGTGGCCGTTCCAATATAAAACAACATTACTGGTTCTGTTCCTGGTTTGAATGTTATTATACTGTGTAGATTAGTATGATCATTCAAATAAAAACACTTTCTTTGTCAAATGGAATCTAACCTGCACTAGGAGACCACTCATTTGAAGTAGAACAAGAGGTTTCTTAATACAGGTTGAATTCACAAAGAAATTACTATGTGTGGGAACATCAAAAGTGGTCATCAAGAATAAATAAAATGATATTTTTTTATTTTTTTTTTCAAAATTGCAGTGAATGGTTATTGGTTAAGATGGGAAATGTCTAATTTCAATTTAATGTAATTGAAATGATTCAAAGTCATTTAATCGGACCAGCTTTTGAAACTCATATAATAAAAAATCCTTAATTTCTGCAAAAATGACAAGCTGTTGATGATAGGCACACCACTAACGGCCATCTGTGTGTGTTTGTACACGTTGTTCCTGTTAACGCGAGGTACATCACAGACGCGCACTGGTATGAATTAATATCCATCTTGTTTTTGGAATCATTAAGCCTGCAGTTTTTTTTATCACAGAAGCCTAATGATCCCCTTCAGACGAAACCTCAGATCATAGCCATTCTTGTCTCTTGCATAGCATTAGCTTAACAGAGACCTGGTACATTTGACATAGCACACTCCATCTCACTCACTTACACCTGTTTGGTTCAAATGGCAAGTCAGTCTCTAATAAGCTGTTTGCCAAGTGCACAAGTCTAATGGTAGACACACTATATATATGGCAGAGTGTATTCATGCACAGATATTGTTTTCTCATAAACACAATATTTCTGTAATGCAGTGTCTAGAAAATATGAAATTTGAAACTTAACCGGAATCTGACAGAAAAAAATTGCAGATTTCTTTGAGATATTATCGGGATCATGTCATTAAAGTTTTTGAAAGCTATAGAATGTTATCTCTATGAACGGAAATTTAAATTAGAATATAAAAATTCTCTGACAGATGTAAACAAAAACAATAAAAAAACCTCTAAATTACATACAAAAAATGTATTGTCATGGCCACCAACGCTGCTTCCATTGTTACAGATGCTCCCCCTGGTGGTGGGGATCCAAATTATAGATACAGGATAATTTCATCTGAACTATAGGTCACATGACCAGAGGGGCAGTTTTTAAACACATCAATTTGTATTCCAAATGCTGAAAAAAATGGAAACCATCTGATAAGGTTCAATGTTCCAACAAGTAGGCCATAAAAGTTGGTGGGATGCCAAATGCCTGGTCAAGAGAATAACCACTATCAGAAACTATATTTCTTTTCTATTACAGTCCCTACAGCAGCATTGTGATGCTGATCTTTCTCCGATTTCACAGACAAGAGGGGGCCTGTTCCAGGGGATCAAGGTTTTTTACGAGGGACTTGTGTATGGACTTGCCGGTTTAATTCTTGTCCATATTATTTTAGCTGATGGTAGATAAGCGTGGAGCTGCGGTATTTCAATGTTATCCTGGCAGCTCGCAGTTTCTTTATTATAGCCCACAGATGCTTTAACTTTTGTCCAGTAAATTCCATTTTACATGGAAGGAAAAATCTCTAATCTAGAGAGAAAACAGCCACCATGCCACATCGGTTTTATGAAGACTACCTATTAATTTGAAACTATTTTATCTTCATATTTAAATTTTCTGTCATATCTGACAGTTGAAAATACGATACAGGAGGGTTCTGTTACAAAGGAATCTCAGGAACTCCAGCTTACTTCAGAGATTGTCTATCTGACTAAACTGATAATACTATTTCTTACATGTTTACCCAAATAATAATCAGAATATGCTGGATGTTTTTGTTTATTTTTATTTTATTTATTAAAGCTTTTAAATACAATTAAAAAACAAAGATTAATTGGAGTTTCAATAACATGAGATATTTTGATAATGTTTAAATTCTGTAGTGTCTGTTGCAGCAATATTGAAGTCAGATAACCATAAAAACCAGCTTAAAAACAAGCCTGCGGATCATGTATTTTTGTCACGACATCACATCCTTATTTTCAATTCTAACTGCCGAGGCTGACCTAACGGAATTGTACATAATTCGAAGACCTTGCAACAAGAATCAACAAATCATTGCAAACATCATTTTTTTTGTAAGAACAGCTATTTTAAGAACATTGGTTGGCAAATTTTCAAAGTCATCCATGCAAGTTCTTTATTTTATTCATGTCTTTTTTATTTCACAAACATTCCCTCAGTGGGCTGGGAGGAAAGAAAAAAATAGCAATTTTCACATTGTAACATATCGTGACAGCTAGAACTCTGCATTAACTTCACACCTAAGTTATAAAGTAAAACATTGATGTGCTTAAATTATTAAAAAAAAGCTTAACAGTGGGAGTGACCTCCCCTACACTCCAATTGCTTAATATCAAATCTGTTTTTTATAAAACCAGCAAAAATGTTATCATTTCAACAAAAGTCAATTTATCTTAAAATACTTTGTTCTGAGAATAGACCAGACTATTGTCGATATGCCATCCTTGGAAAAAAAATGGGTTATTATTACAAAAAGAAAAACAATCGTTTGTTGTATGATTCTGCGAGACTGACACGAAAAGTACTGACCGAACCTGTTGACACCTTTCATCTACAGCACTGAACTGACTCCTCACACTGGACCCAAATCACCTCCATTCATCAGAGAGCTCTTACCAAAATGACAAGTATTTGTGAAGCTGTAAAACCATGTTAATCTACACCATTTCAAACATATCGGGTACCTAATAAATATTTACACTCCACAGACCCAGACATATGTTTTACATTTTTTTGCCTGTACAATATATTACAAGAAAGCAGTACCAAAGGTCTATACACATTCTCACAAGGTCAATCATGTTGGCTGATGTTTGGCAACACTTACTAGAGGAATGGGAACGGACCATGTAAAATACCATTAGGGCTTACAGCTTGTGCCCAACACATGTTTCCATGTCAACGCTATGTTTACATTGAAGCCATTTGCCAGTAATCCGTCAGGTGCCCTAAGAAAGAGACTCTTGTAGGTATCATAATTATAAGATTAGCTAGCTCTGACATAAAAGGTTGATGAAGTCCGGATAGACGATAATTGTGATGCGTATCAATCTGGGGATTTATCGTTATATATTTGGATACAGTAATATAGTTTAACTGTGATAAGCTCACGCTCTGTATTAAGCCCATGCTCAGTAATAGACCCATCCCCTTGTTAATTGGATTTTACAAAAAAAGGATATTTCTTGAAACATTTTTGAATAATACTTCAGGAATGAGTGGGTCTATTTTATATTTCAAGTGAAATCCCAGATTGATTATTAGGTTTATATGGATATTTCAAACCTAAATTTACCGTCTTTTCGGTACTTTTTATGTCCTATATTTCAGCATTAAACTACTTTCAGTTGGCATTTGTACAGACTCTAAATAAACATACTGACTAAAAACAATGTTATGACAGTGCAACAGAACTATTCTAAAGGATGAAAGGTTTCAAATCGGAAAATGTTCTCATCTTTTCACCATGCTGTTATGAGTGACCTGGGACCAATAATGTTTCAATGTCACATTAAATCTCTGAAAGCTAATTTCTGAATGGTTCCAAATGTCACCTGATGGTACTTGAAACCTAGAAAACACTCTACCTTGGTCCAGGAAAAATGGTTTGTTTGCTTCTTTTTCCCTCAATGACAAGAAGAACTGGATCAAAACAGCTGAGCGTTGTACGTTACAGGGATAATC